CTCAGCCTCTCGAGGCAGATCTCAGCAGTGAGGTTGGGATGCACAGTCTGCCAGGATCCACGAGTCAGAACAGGATTTTCACATTTTCCCTGAGCCCAGCACTATCTGCTGGGTCAGCTGTGACTGGCGCCTGCCTGGGAGTGGATGGAAAAACAGCAGAGATGTCACAGACCTGGTCCACATCCCCAGCAGCAGCTCCAGCCCCAAATCGGTGCCACCCACACCGAAATCTCCCTTATCACCGGGGCCAGGCCCTGTCCCTGCCTTACTCAGGCACAACTTTCCATGCCCAGCAGAACAACAGCTCTGCCAGGCACAGTTTGGAGCGTCCACCTGAGTCCTGAGTCCCTGCTTTTGTTGGGCAGAGATTTCCCCATGGGATCTGATGGTCAGATGTGAGTGATGGAGRAGGGAGCCTGGTGCACACCCAGCCTGGGCACAGCTTCGGTGCCACCGAAATCCCAGAGCTGAGCCCTGGCACAGCCCAAAGGAGGTGCCAGCCCTGCCCACCCCACCAGGCTCTCTCCTCTACCTGGGCCGTGCCCGTCATCCCACCCACAGTGTTTGCTCAGACTTTCCGTGTTCTCAATCGCTTTTGTTCGGGTCTCACCCAGTTCAGTTCAMCTCCTCTGACACAAATCTGTGTGAAAGTTCCTGAGCTGCTCATGGCAGCCCCTCTGCAGGAATYCCCAGAGCCCCCAGGCTGATCCAGCCAAGTGCTCTGCTGCTTTTGTCCCTGGCAATATTTGAAATCGAACAGGAATACAAACATTTGGATTCCAGACACTTCCCAACCCCGACGTTATTTATCATCCTTGGCTCTGCTCCTGGAGCYGGGGCCAGGAGAGGCTCTGGATGATTTAAATGATTTAACATGCTGTGCATAGATCAATCTCACTCTCCCCTCCAGCCACAGGTTTCCCTTTGTGGTTTGCTGCACACTTATTATATCCATCAATATCCAAGTAATTAAAATCCCCCATTATCTGGGTCCTGGCTGCCKTACAAACTCCTCATAAGCCATAAACTCTTTCATTATCAACCTCCCTAAAGTGTCTGGGAGTTTGCAGCCCCATCGCAGGGTCCCCAGGCTCTCATTACATCTTCAAGGCCCCATTGGATCGGTGGCCATTTCCAGCCCAAGCCATTCCTCTCCCTGTGTTCCTCTCCTTGCCAGGATTGCTCATTTCTGTCCCCATCTCTCTCATTCATGGTGAGTTTATCTCAGAGCAATTCTCCCATCTCCATCTCCTCTCGTGCTGTTCATGGGGAGCTCTGGAGCTGCTGCACCCCCMGGGGCTCCCAATGCCACATCCCAGATTTTGCTCCACTGCAGAATCATTTGTTGTGCCTTGGAAAGGCCGAGAGTCCCCAACAGTGTCACACCTGTGCCCCAAATGTCCCCTCCCCGTGATCAGGGACCATCCCAGGGCTCTTTTGGGGACCCTTCCCTGTCACCTGCTCGGGCTCCTTTCCTGCTCACCTCAGCCACAGCTCTCAGAGCAATTTATTAATAACAACTGAGTTTGCCTTGCAATTCTCATTGGAGGGAAGTGAAGGCACAGAGAATAATTGATTTCAGCGTGTTTGTGGTGCTGCACTTGGCCAGCTCTGCTGTTCACTGGTGCGTTCTGGAGCGCTCAGCCTGGCACAGGCACAGCCTAATCTGACCCYGGGCACCCTGGCTGCAGCCAGGCACCATCACAGACCATGACTCAAACCAAAAAGTGCTAATTGCAGCATGGAGGAGGAGAGAAGCTGCTAAATGACACCTTATATGGACAGGGAGTCGGAGCAGATGGAGAAACCATCACTGCTGGGATGGTGACACAGAGCTGTGCCAGCCCAGGCTGTGCTGGGGCACTGAACCAGCCCCCGAGACCACAGGGACCTCTTGCTGACATTGCTTTTATTTTGTCATTTGCTCTCATGTCACTGGGACCCACCTCCTGAGGCCCAGGAGTCTCTAGACCAGCCTGCAATGGTCCAGAATAAAAACAGCTTTGCATGGGGCAAACAAAGGGTGGGAAYGAGACCCAGCAGATCCTGGTGAAGGTCTCTGAGCACGAAAACCATCCCAGTGACTGCACACGACAGCCCCACTGCCTTCAGCCCTGCTCCAAGCTCCCCACTAGGGAGTTTTGTGGGGTTTGTGGGATTCTGGGACACAAAAAATGTCATTTTTGCATTTCAGGATTCAAGAGGGTCACACTATTGAGGCAAACCCTAATCCTGCTGTCCTTTCCTGGTGTGGAAAGCTCTTCCAGGGTGACTGTGCATTCCCACGGTGGAAAGCTGTTCCAGGTTTTTTGTGGTGTGGTGACGCTGTCCCCAAGGCAGGACTCGAGTCCCAGCTCATGCCAAAGCCAAACACAAGGCTGGGGTTGGTTTCTCTGGTGCCCAGCCATGCTGGGAGCAGGATTTGCCAGCTCTGCACGGTGCCACTCACGGTGCCACGCAGAGGATGTGCCACTGCCACCCAAACTCCTGTTTGCCCAGTTAGTCACCAGTTGCCAGAGCGGGTAA